GGTTTAGAAAACATATAAAACAAGTTGGACTCATTTCGCAAATATCATATATCTATTTTGAAATAAAACAGTGACATTTCATCCGATCTCAAGTTTAAGCAATATCAATAGATTAAATAAGGAAGCAAACTAATTTCCAACAAGGAGCCATTTTCACAACCACAATTTTCATGATAAAACATAACCACCATGGATCTCAATCCACCGTTTGCACGATAAACAATAATCAACAATATATATCTGTATCTCAGGTATGATGCATGGTTCTGGCTCACACACCCACACCCACACCCAATCCTCGCAAGGATTCTCAATCTTTAGGAAGGGCACATACCAACGCATTGGTAGGGACGATCCAACCCAGGAATAGTATACTAACCCTCAGCCTCAATAACACGTGAGCGAATAATGGTTTGGTCCTCGCAAGGCACCAACCCTACTACGAGTGATAGGGAACCTTCAAACCCACACGGAGTAAAAAATGCATCTAACCCACTGTACGATATCCGATCAATTGCCACCCATGGTCATCCAAACATCCACAAGAGATACAATATTCAAATCAATTTCTCCAATCACAAATACATTCAAAAATCTGTAAATTTTACATATTGTATAGTTGAAGAAAAATGCAAAAGATCATCATAAATACCATTTTTTGGTTGAATATAAAGCCCTAAAGTTTTGGAATCAAGAACAAAGGAAAAACAAGAGAAAAATCTATTTCTCTTGAAAACTAGGGTTTTGAGTCAAGAAGAAGAGATTTAATGGTTATCCCACTATAGATTTATTTAAAACATGATAGTGTTTGCAAGAATATCAAGAATCAATGATTTACTAACAAATAAATAAGATTTAGAGTCAAAAGAATACATATAAGTAAACCCTAGCCTTAATGTAAGAGAATAGGAGGAAACCCCTACCTTGGTGTTCTTGAAGAAATCTAGGGTTTTGATTCAATCCAATGCGTAAATCCCCTTTTATCTTGTGTTCTTCTCTTCCTTTCTTCCTCTCTAAGGTTTTCTAGGGTTTGAGGTGTTGAAATGGGGCTAAATGAGACGTCTTTATGTATTTATAGTGGAAGGAATCGGACCCAAATCGTGACTTAAAATTTTTGGAATCTACCGGTACGGTATGGCTACTAGTCTTTCGACGTACCGGTACCCTTTGGCAGTTTTGTCCCTTTTTCCTTTTTTTTTCATTTCCAATCCACCTTTAACCCTTCCAAAACCAACCCAAACTTATACAAAATACTTTTGAACATCAACCTAGTTGGTACAACTTCTATTACAAACGATTTCATATATTTATCCGGGTTTTCACAATACCATTATTTTTACGGTTATAACCTATATGGTTCATTCCTATGCCATTACATATATTAAAATTACTACACAATTTATTATGATATTACTATAATCATATGGGGGTTTACACCACCACCATCACCACTTCCATTGCCCCACCACCACCATAACCACTACCACCACCCCCACCATCAACACTACCACTATCACCACCATCCCACCAACACAACCACCATCCCTAACGAACGAATAAAATCAATACCTTCAATGTACCTTCTACCGGTTCGAGTTAGGGGGTAACCAATCGAGCTAAATATGTCCTAGAGTAAAACACATACCAAGGACAAGCACGTGCCAATGGGGATCACGAAACAAGCACATGAGGTTGGATTCGGTGTGAGGAGGCAGCTCGAAAAACCAAATTGACTAATCGATTTGCTCGCCCATATCCCACCATTTTAGATCAAACCTGTTGTAGATACTTTGGGAAGGAAGTTCTATATTTCTTGCCACCCAATTTGAAAAGCAGTTGTAGAGCTCCAGTGATAACAGGAGCCTAGCCTATAAAGGGAATGAGGTTGCCCCATGTAAGTAACACCTCCTAGCTAAATCCATCCTATCTGTACTTTCTTTATTGACTTTATCATCAGATGGTTGACCACCGAAGCCTTCAGTCCTTGACTTTTGTGCAAAAACTCATTGGTGACCACCAAATTATCATTTTACCTTGGTGCTATTTTTTGGGATCAATAATATATAATTTAATTTGAATCATTTTTAAATCATATATTGTTATGTTAGAGCATCTCTAACATTGACTCAAATGTAGACTCAAATTTAAATGAGTCAAAATGGCCCAAAAAACTTCTCCAACTTTGGACTCAAACCTATACCAAATCAAGGCAAAACTTATTCTGGACTCAAATTGAAGCATACTTAAATTTTATATCAAATTTATAATGGTAACTTTTTAACCTATCCAAAACTAAAAAACTTCTTCGACAACTTGTTATTTTCCTCTTCTTGCCTTTGTTTACTATGCTACTTCCATCGCCGACCACCACCAAAGTTTTCACAAATCATTTGAAGGCTTGTAGGTAAGTTTTTTTTCCTTTTCATCTTCCATTTTTTTTTATTTTTCAAAACCCTAATCTCAACCATCTTTCATATTATATAATCTCTAAGTCTATCCATCAAATTTTTCTTTGATTTTTTCAAGTTAAACACTATCGGTAATACAATTTCAAGTCATTGATTCTTTCTAAAATTTTAAGTCTTCACTACCCACAAATTTAGAAAATTCATCATTTTATTTCTTCAATCTTCTATTTTTGTTAAAAACGTATGTTTTTGTATTCTTCAAACAGGCCCATGCCAAAATAGTTATATTTTTTTTCTTTTTTGTTCTTTATCTAGATTTATAAAAAATGATAAGAGATTAGAACAATTTAGAATTATGGGTTTGTTTCTTTATTCCCATATAGTGATGTATACATATTCATTTTTTTTTAAATTTCTCATTTGTGGAGAGATATGAAAGTTTTATTTATTTTATCAAATATCATGATTTGAATGACACAAAAAAAATGAGTTTGGAGACAATGAGAGATTTTTTTAAAATATTGGAGTAGATATTTGAGTTTTTCCATTGAAATACTCTATACCAAATTAAGTTTTTTAATCAAATTTAAGCTTAAATCATGCTTGAAGAAGCTCTTATATAACAAAATAGTTATATCTCGTGCCTGAAAGCAAGAAGTAATAAAAAAAAATGGTTAATAATAAACATATTTATATTCATACTCAAAATCAAATCACAAACAGAGAGAAGAAAAAAAGAAATTTAAGCACCATTGGTAATGGTAGTGAACGGTAGTAGTGATGGTGGGCGGCAGTGGTGGTGGTGGGAAACGACGATGATTTGGTGGGTGCCAACAACCATGGTGGTGGTGGTAGCTATGAGTCACAACGGTGATGGTGGTAGTGAATTTTGGGTGACGATTGTAGCAGTGGCAGCCATGGGTAACAGTAGTTGTGGTGGTGGGTGTGGGTGGTTGTGGTGGGTGACGATAATAGTGGTTGGCAGTGATCGTGATGGGTGACAGTGATGGTGGTTGGCATTGGCAGTGGTGGGCGGTGACGATGGTGGTGACGAGCAATGAAGAGTGTTTTTGGGCAACAGTGTAATGGGTGATGGTAAATGGTAGTGGTGGTGGATGTGGTGGGAGAGGGTGATAGTGGGTGCCGACAGTGGTGAGCAATAACAGATGGTGGTGGTTGGTGGTGGTAGATGTGGTGGGTGTGAGTGACAGCGGCTGACAGTGATGACGGTTGACAACTTATGGTGGTGGGTAACAATAGTGGTGGTGAGTGCTAACGGTGGTAGTTGTAATAAATACAAGAATAAGTTAACAGTGGTGGTGGGTGGTGGCGGTGGTAGCAATTGATGGTGGATGATGAAATTGGAAGTGGTGGTGGTGGTGGGGGTGGTGGAGGCGGCAGTAGCGATGGTGGGGGTAATAGTGGTGGGGTGTTGGGAGTAATGGTGATAGGGGTGATGGTGGGACAGTGGCGATGCTGGTGGTGGTGGGGTGGCGATCGTGTTGTCTACAGTAACGACGGTGGTGGATGTGGTGATAGTGGTAGTGGTAATGGTGGTGGTTGTGGAGGTGGTGAGGGTAGTGGTGGAAGTGGGGCGGTAGTGTAGTGGTGGTGGTGGTTGTAGCAGAGGTGGTGGCGACTACAGCGGTGGCGGTGGTGGTAGTGGTGGGGCGATGAGGGTGGTGTTGATAGTGGAGTGGCGGTAGTAGTAACAGTGATAGTGGTGGGGCGGTGGAGGTGAGAGTGGTAGTAGTAGTGGTGGGGTGATTTCAAACACTATTTTTTTTTTTAAGTACCTATGAAAAGTTATAAATTTTAGAAACATTTTTATAAACTCACTCAAAATACACATTTATGAGCATATTTTTTTTATTAAATTTGTGGTATTAATATTAGTCATCGAATTAACTTTAAAGTAAAATTTAAAGAGAAGTAAAATTATTTTTTTTTATCTTTTAAAATTTAAATTATATTGTAATTTATTATAAAAAAAGTAATCACAAATATAAATTCCATAAAAATGTCAATAAAAAGGGCATCTATAATCATTCGTTCCATTAACGCCTTCCTATCATTTTAATTATCCCTACTTTGATCACTTTCTCTCTCTATCACCCCCCCCCCCCCCCCCCCCCCTCTCCTTCCCACCCTCTCTTCTCTCTCTCACTCATCTCCATCTAAAACTATGTGTATCTATTTATCTCTCATTTTCTGATTGCCAGGAGACGCTTGCCGTTCAATCACCTCTATCAGCAACTGGCGACCAATGATCGCCGTTCCGATCTACAGCCACTGGTCAATTTTCCCTAATTCAAAATTTCCAACGGTACAATTTCACTACAACGTTTCGTACTGTAGATCCATTACACCAAGCTACATTCCTATTTTCCCTACGAAATCATCATGCATTTCAGCAGAGTTAGGGATGTCTTTTGATTTTTATTGATCTATTATCAACTGTAATTCTGTGCAGTTTAGATGGTTTAATTCAAATTTTGTGAATATATAGTTTTTAGGGTTAGGGTTTATTCTGTTGCATTGAGATGTTCCAGAAATTTATAAAGAAAGGGCATCGAAAGGTGTCAAAATCGGATGGTGGCGATTACGGCTACGTACCACCGGGGAATCGAAATTCCGGTTTGGTTCAACGTCCAATGTGGTGGTAAACCACGCCTCTCGGGCCGCACCGGAGAATTTGGTGCAGCAACATCCGATGATCGTGGCTGCCTGCCCTCGGGGACCATTGAAACTCTCCCTATGTTGAAGGACGTTCCAGTGTCCGAACGCCAAAACTTGTTTTTGAGGAAATTGCAAATTTGTTGCTTCCAATTAAATTTTTTTGGAAATACTGAAAATGGTTAGGGAAAAGGAAATTAAGAGGCAGACCCTTGTGGAGCTTGTTGATTTATACAATCCAGTTCAGGGAAACTTACTGAGAGTAATCAAGAAGAAATGATAAGAATGATTTCAGTGAAATATTTTCCGGTGTTTGCCCCCAGCATCTCATGAAAATACAGGTTCAGAAAATATGGAGCCGGAAGAGGAGGATCCATATCTGGAGCCCTCATGGCCACATTTACAGCTTGTGTATGAGTTGCTTATGCGGTATGTTGTGTCCTCTGATACGGATACGAAGGTTGCCAAGCGGTATGTTGATCATTCATTTGTGTTAAAGCTACTTGATTTGTTTGATTCTGAGGACCCCAGAGAACGGGAATATTTGAAAACTATTCTTCACCGAATTTATGGGAAGTTCATGGTCATCGCCCATTTATTAGGAAGGCAATCAATAACATCTTTTATCGGTTTATATATGAGACAGAGAGGCACAGTGGTATTGGTGAGCTCTTGGAGATTCTTGGCAGTATAATTAATGGTTTTGCACTGCCAATGAAAGAGGAGCATAAGTTGTTCTTGTCCGGGCACTTATACCCCTCCACAAGCCAAAGCCAATTGCATTGTATCATCAGCAGCTGTCGTATTGCATTACTCAGTTTGTTGAAAAGGACTACAAGTTGGCGGATACTGTAATAAGAGGTTTGTTGAAATACTGGCCTGTCACCAATTGCCAGAAGGAAGTTCTCTTCTAGGGGAACTTGAAGAAGTGCTGGAGGCAACTCAGGCTGCTGAATTTCAGCGCTGCATGGTACCTCTTTTCAGACAGATAGCTCGTTGCCTTAGTAGCTCTCACTTTCAGGTTTGCTTTTTTATTTTTTAATTTATTTACTACTCTTTCCTTTTTCCTGCCTTTGATGAACTTGATTTGGAATCTGGCTTCTTCAACTTCATTTTCGTTTACTTATTTTTTTTTTTTTTCATTTAATATGTTTTCCTCTCTTTTCATATCAGTCCCATTGAGTCCGCTAGATTTTTTTCGTTATTATGAATGGTGTGATTGGATTAGGAATAATGTGGAAGTTTTGCTAAGATAAAAACTTACAAGCTAGTGTGTTCTGTCACATTTTGCTTGTTTTTGAGGAAGATCCTTGATGCATTAATATGCATTACTCGATGCGTGTTCTCTCAATTATTTTTTCATCATCGTCCTTTTTGCTTCTGCTGTATTTATATGTATTTACTCGGTGTGCCTATCATGTCTTCAACTTTAAGAAGATTTCAATTGTATTAAAATTAAAGTTTTGTTATGTAAATGGTGTGCTAGAATGCGATAAATGTGTTATTTCCTATTGAACTTCGTGTGCACTATTTCCTTGAGAAGAAACGTGGTTACTTGATTTTGCATTATGCTTTTCTTGGATAATTACGCTGCCTCGTCGCGTGGAACCTATGGCTTCTTGTGAAGTGCTGCAATGTGATTTTTCTGCTATATATTTCCTATTTGAAATTTTCTTTTTCACAAAGAATAGACACTATAAGTCAACTTCTAGACTGGCTTATTGTGTCCACTCTATTTTTCCTTCATCAGTGATCTTATGACATTTCTTGGTAATAAGTGCAGCTACACTGGAAATTGATGGCTGCGTTATTCCACTGTTATTCCTTTTTTGGCATCTTAATGTCATGCTTATGCAAATGATGTTCCGGCATAGGTTGTAGTGTTTGTTACAGATACATGGGTTTAAACTTTAAAGTGATTACCTTTGATCAGCTGACAGAGTGTTTCAATGCCTATGTGAAAGCACATATGGAAGTAGACACATGTTGTAGTTGTTGGACATATCTTGACAGCACATTAACAGGTGAAAACAGGAATGTGTATCTCAAAATGCGGGAGTATTGTAATAAGAAACTAATTTCCTCTTCATTTATATTACTTTAGATGATAATATTGTGAACTTCATTGGAATCAATTCAGCCACTTGCCTCATCATTATTAGGAGGGATTGGGATTGGCTGAAATGGTAGTTGAAGAACTTGAGATCTGTTTTGATTTTGGAATTGACTTTTCCTCAAATGATGTGTGCATATCTTTTATGTACTCATTTGACAAACATGCAAGGATTGGTAACTACAACTAGGTTCAACTCAAGTAGGATGCCATTGCTTCAACTTCTATGAGACAAATGTATCCAATTGGAACTGTTTCTGCGGAGGAAGTTGGTGTTCTTATTTGTGCAATCACTAATGCTATTGGAACATAATTTAGGGACATAATGTATTGTGACCATTGGATTGATAGTAGTGCTTTCAGCTGGGACCCACTGATGATCTAATGTCTACAATGCCAAATTAGTTCCAATAGCATTGTGCAATTGATATCTCAAATGTCCTTCATCCATTGTGAAGTTTGGTTTGCGTGGTGGGAGTTCATTTTTTACAGGTTAGATTCTTAGTGTAAGGGTATAATATGTAGCAAACAGAGCATCTGGATTAGGAATCTTATCTGTTGGAGATTTGAAGCTGAGCATTATGATTTATTCTTTGTAAGCCAGTTGTATCCATTTCAACATCTTTTTCAAAGGCGAATTTATGGTGCAGGTTGCAGAAAGAGCCCTCTTTCTGTGGAATAATGAGCATATTGTGAGCTTGATTGCCCAGAACAGAAATGTCATATTACCAATCATTTTTGAGTCACTGGAGAAGAATATTCAGTCACATTGGAACCAGGCAGTTCATGGTCTCACTGTTAATGTTCGAAAAATGTTTTTGGAAATGGATACCGAGTTGTTTGAGGAGTGCCAGAGGCAGTATGCAGAGAAAGAGGCCAAGGCCAAAGAGTTGGAGGAGCAGCGGGAATTAAAATGGCAGAGATTGGCAGCTGCTGCAACACTAGGAGGCTGATGGGAAACTGTCATGGCTTACCTGATCACTTAGATAGTATGTATCACAATCCAAAACGATGGATGCATGATCAACAGATGTGCTTCTCTCTCCATCTTGGTGGTATTCTTTTTTTCTTTTCTTTTTTTTTTTTGTTCATCTTTTACTTTTCTCTCTGCCTAATTGTTGAAGATAAACAGCAAAGCAGCAAGCAATGTAATTTAGGTGTATTAGTGTTTGCAAGTGTATTAGTGTTTGCAAGTAATGTGCTGCGGAGTCAGAATGGTTTGTGATAGTATCTCTTGTATTTTGTTCAATATTTTCCCCCATGAGAGAAGTATCTATTCTCTTACCTTGCACTTGCACAATATGGAGTGTGTTTTGGATTTAGGATATTTTTCCTACATATTTGGCACAAAAGATGTAGACGGGTGCATTTTTTGACTCGCATCCCTTGTTACCGAAAATTGGAAAACAGAAGTAAAGAATTCTTAATGTCTATTGTAACCCCAAGGTTATGGAATCTGCTCCGGTGATGAATTTACACATGAATGTGTTTCTGCATGTTTACAATGTAAGGAATAAGGATCAAACCTAACACCTTTCACCCCTGACAACCATAGCTTGCTGTCTAATTATATGGTCCGTTAGGATACATAAGATGACAATGGGCTATGTCAGTATCGTGTGTACTAAATATTTGTTCCATTTATTTATTTTTTATTTTTTACTATAGGTTGTACAAACTTGTGCTGATTACTTTCTCGAACTCAGATACTGGTCATCGTAGTTTACTTTTTTTTTATTTTTTTACTACAGGGTGTATAAACTTGTGCTGATTATTCTTTCGAATCCGGATACTGAACATCGTAGTTTTAGTGGTCTTAAAACATGTCCCATAAGGAACAAAAATGACTAGCCCTCACGGGGTATGAAAAATGTTAAATCTGATACCCCTGAGTTATCTGATGGTAAACTTAGTCACTAAACCAACCTTAGGGTTTTTTTCCATTTAAATTCAATTAAGTTATAGTAGTGCATAGTTGGATCCATATCGTATTAAATTCATATATGGTATGTGTAAGTTGTACATAATAAGAAGCATATTGACCCATTTATTATAAGAATCAGGTTGATTAATCGAGTTTTCATCCAATCTATATAATAAAACATCTAACAATTTTGAATTTTTATCTAATACATATTTTCTCCCCAAAAACATGACATCACTTATTTTTTTTATATGTTCAATCATTTAATATTTGATTAATTTATAGTTTAACATAATTTTTATTTTAAATATTATCTATATAAGATAATATACACATATTCAAAAAAAATTATCAAATTACATATTTTGAGAAAATTTTGTCAATATTTTTAAGAAAATAATGAAAAAAATAAATTTTAAATGTTGTAATCAAAGAAAATAAAGAAATAAAAATTATTATTTAATATAGTAAAATCGATTTTTTAAGTGCTCAAATTTTACATTTTATCATAACTTAAAGTGTGAGTTATGACTAATAACGTTACGATTGAACTCATGCGCAATACTTTAGTGCGGGGCGTAGACCTATCAAGCGACATGTGGGAATTAAATTTGGGCCTTTGGCATGGTAATAATTGTCTTCTTGTTTTCACCACCAAAGAAGATGTGACTTCTAATACGGTTCAAAGCTCTTGGATTTGTTTGGATGAATTTTTTTGAATGAATTTTTTGGAAGGATTTAGATTTATTTTCTCAAATTTTTTTAAATTTAAATCCATTTTTATAAAGATAGGATTCAACATTAAATTTGATCTATATCTAAGATTGGTATGACTCATGAATATATTATAATTATTAACAATTATTTGTACTGTAAATAATTATTTCACCCTTGATCAATTCAATTCATACTCACATTAAATGGTACAATTTGTCTTTTGTATCCTTAACCCTTAACATATATTCCCAAACCCACCTTCTCAGGTTTAATGAAACTCATAATCATGAGTTTAACATTCGGGTTAAAAAAAGGTCAAATTTGAGAACCTAATATTAAATTTTCAATCCAAACAAAAAATTTAGAAGTCTTTTTAGACTATTTTCTCCAAATCCATCTTCCTAAGCGCACTCCCTCAAATACCCATTTACCAAACAGTGATAATTGGATATCAGTCTTTTTAGAGAATCTATAATGAGTTAAATCTATTCTTTAAACATATTTGGTGTTAAGTTTTATTATTATCTTTTTAATAAGTAATCAAGTTCAAAAATTTTTATTATAAAAAAAGTTCTTATTATTCTATATTGCTCTATGTATGTATCACGTTGAAAGTAATTTTCCAACTATGGAAATTTACCCATAAATCGCATTTAGAGATCTTTTGGTAGATCTTTATATCAAATTTAAAATTCAAATTCTAAGTGTAATTATTATCCATCTTCTTCTATCTATATAGATGTGTGTGAGCAAATTGGCAGATATATGTTTATGCCATGTCGAATGGTCCACAACTAAGTTGCACTACGAGAAACCCGACTATTCGAAGACATTATTTCTTCTTAACATACCTACACCTTGCTAAAAATAAGTGCCAATTTTATTGAATCCAAGTCGTTATCATGTTGATAAATTCCTCCGACATGTATCCACTGAAATCTACCCCGCCGGCAGGGACGAAGTCACCCTTGGGCTAGGGTGGGCACATGTCCCCTTTAAAATTTTGTTTGCTTTATATTAAGTATGTATTTTTGAAATAAAATTTAGATATATTTAATTGTGTCTACCTTTAATATTGTATTTTAGTGATATTGATTTAGTAGATCTTACCTAAATGATTGTTAACTTTTTGAATAATATATTGAAAATCTAATTTTAGAACCTAATACAGAGCGATATTAAGTATAAATAGGAGTCTTAATATTTAATAAACTTTACTATCTATTAATGGTCACAAACCATTGGGTCTGCATTACTTAAATCTCAAATTAAGTACAACTAATATAATTGTTAATTTCTAGACATGTTTTAGACATGTCCAAATATATTTTGAACATATTAATTTTATTTTATAATTTGTTTTAAACTGTAGGGTTATTTCGTACATTACATAAAAATGTGTATCGTTATGTAATAAATTATAGAATTATAAATAAAATATTGTTATTGCGATTTTATATAAAACAAACATATTATTGATAAAATTAATTTATAACAGTTTCAAAATATAGAAACATATCAGGGTCAATTGTAAATAATAATAATTAAACGGATTCTCGATAATAAGTTTTAATTATTATTTTTTGTTTATGAGTAGATTGATTTTTAATTTTTTATAT